TTGCTTTTAATGAGATGTTGCGGATCTTACTAATCGTTTCTAGGAATCACTTGCTCGAAAAGAAAAGAAGAAGAAGAAGTTAAGAAGGATAATGGAGAAAATGAGGTGAAAATAGAACTAGTGAATGCAAAGAAATCTGAATGGTGGCCAAAAATGAGGTGAAAATAGAACTAGCAAATGCAAAGAAATTTGAATGGTGGCCGAGGAGATGGCAGGCATGGTGGTGGATCTGATGAAGAAGATAGGTTTAATTTGTAATTTGAAGTTTTTATTTTTTATTTTTTTAATATGTTAATGACACGTGTCACTATTTCATTGAAGCGTGATATTACACATGTTTTGAGAAATTGGTCAAGGAAAAAGTAGTGTGTATTAGGCAAACTCTGAAAAGGCCGAGTGTGTAAGACTATTTTTGTCCGCAAAAAGTGTATAATAGAGATTTGTTTTGCAGTTCAACGGGTAACTTATGTATTTTGCCATTAAACTTTCTGGAAAATCAGTTGGTTAGGTAGTTTCAAAGCTAAAATTATAGTGCATAATCAGTTTCCAAGAGCGGTAAAGTTTGGAGTTCAGATGAGACAAGTAACCACATAAAACTAGCACAAGTCCCATGTAGTGGCATATCTAAATTGGGGGCCTGGGTTTACGTGCAACCATGCTCCCCTCCCTAGATCTTGTATAATAATGCTACTCTCTCCATTTCAATTTATGTGAACTTATTTCCTTTTTAGTTCGAGTCAAAAAGAATGATCACTTTCTATATTTGGAAACAATTTACTTTTATGCAATGATTTATAGCCACACAGAATGTGTGCCTCATTTTACCCTACATGTTCCAAAATCTTCTCTTTTTTCTTAAACTGCGTGCCCAGTCAAATAGGTTCACATAAATTAAAACAGAGAAAGTATATTTTTTTATTTTATAAAATACTTAAATATATATGTGGAGCCAAGCTCAAAGTGTCATATGGTGCAATAATTGTTGTGTGCACCTCTTTAAGTAAGGTTGGGGTTTCAAATCCTATGTCAATCTTGTTGCTTTTCCTTTCAGAATTGGGTCCATCCACGAGGATGGGCATGTCTGGTATCTGTTCTTGCGTTTTAGTTGGGTACATTTCTCTTTTTCTTATTTGTTTGGATTTTTCCTTCTAAATTTCCAAGTCTGACACATTGAAATCCCTATTTTCCTTTTATCGCCGTGAAGTTTTATATAATTAAAGTTGTGCACGAAATAGAAAGATTAACTTGTGTTCTCATTCCAAGAGTTGAGCAATATAAATACATGTACATCAGATCCTAACTAAGGAAAGAAATAAAAGAGATTCCTACAAATTTGCTATTTATGTACACTACTAAGAAAGAGTCTACATTCATTCTATAATAAGTGTCTAGATTCATTCTATAACACTCCCCCTCAAGCTGGAGCATATATGTTGATCATGCCCACCTTGTTACAAAGGTAACCAATTCGAGTATCATTCAATGCTTTAGTGAACAAATCAGCTAGTTGCTCTCCTGTCTTCGTGTAGGTAGTGGAAATCAAGTTCTCTTGAATTTTCTCACGAATAAAATGACAGTCAACTTCAATATGCTTGGTTCTTTCATGATACACTGGATTTGAGGCAATATGGACCGCAACTTGATTGTCACACCAGAGCTTTGATGGAGTAGGATGCTTCAACCCTATTTCAGTTAAAAGATGGTGTATCCACATTATCTCACATGTTGATTGTGCCATAACTCTATACTCTGATTCTGCACTGGACCGAGATACAACATTCTGTTTCTTACTTCTCCATGATATCAAGTTTCCACCAACAAGTACACAGTAACCAGTAGTAGATCTTATGTCAATCTTGGATCCAGCCCAATCTGCATCTGCATCTGCAAAACAATCAATGCGGGAATGCCCGTGGTTGCTGTATAATATGCCAAGTCCAGAAGCTCCTTTTAAGTAACATAAGATCTGCTCCAAAGCCTCCCAATGTTTGATTGTGGGCGCAGACATGAATTGGCTAACCATACTTACTACAAAAGCAATATCTTGACGAGTCACAGTGAGATAGTTTAATCTCCCAACTAACCTCCTGTATCTATCTGGATCATTAAATGGCTCGCCATCATCTTTCATAAGATGCAAATTAGGAACCACTGGAGTACTGCAAGGCTTGGCAGCCAACTTACCAGTTTCTGCCAGTAAGTCAAGAATATACTTTCGCTGAGATAGAAAAATCCCCTTCTTGCTTCTAGTTACTTCTACTCCCAAGAAATATTCAGTTGTCCCAAGTCTTTTGTATGAAACTTAGTATGCAAGAAAGACTTAGAGAGAAGAGATTCCTGCATAGTCACTTCCTATAATCACAATGTCATCAACATATACAACAAGAAAAATAGATCCAGCTGTTGATTGCCCGTAGAAGACTGAATGATCACATTTGCTCTTTTTTAGCCCAAATTCTTGAACTACCTCACTAAATTTACCAAACCAAGCCCGGGGACTCTGCTTCAAGCCATATAAGGACTTCTTTAAATGACAGATCTTTCCATACTCCCCCTGAGAAACAAAACCAAGTGGTTGCTCCATATACACCTCTTCATGACGATCACCATGAAGAAATGCATTCTTAGTATCCAATTGATGCAAAGGCCAATTCTCAGAAACTGCTAGAGAAATGAACAAGCGGACAGAAGTAAGTTTGGCAACCGGAGAGAATGTGTCTGAATAATCCACCCCATAAGTCTGAGCATACCCTTTGGCCACAAATCTGGCCTTAAGTCTTGCCACAGAGTCATCTAGATTAACTTTGACCGTGAAGACCCATTTGCATCCCACTGCTTTCTTTCCACTAGGTAAATTCACTAAATCCCAAGTATGGTTTTCCTCTAAGGCATGTATTTCCTCAAGCATTGCTTCAGACCATCCATGATGATTCAAAGCCTCTTTCACCGTTTTGGGTATAGAAATGGAGTTTAGAGACGCAATCAAAGATCTAGACGCGGGGGATAAGTGGTCGTAGGAAACAAAATTAGTAATAGAATATGTGGATTTGCAAGTACGTGTACCTTTGCGTAAAGCAATGGGAAGGTCAAGGTCTTCTGGAGGATCAGGCGGAAGAGGAACAGATGACAAAGGAACTGGTGCAGGAGACGTATCATTTGTCTCTCGCCTGCGCGAGTAAACTTGAACAATTTGTGGTCTTGCTCACACAGTTGAAGCAGGTGTTGAAGGCACAATAGTCGATGGGTGCTCGACAGAAGAGCTAGGAGATGAAGGAACATCATCTGATTGTTCTGTCAAAGTACGGGTAACCTGATATACTAGCCACTCATCTTCCTCCCCCTGACTTTGTAGAGACGGGAGGTGCATAGAAGAATGGTATAGTCGATGAAAACACCACATCAATTGACACCAGATATTTGCCAAGTTCAGTAGAATAACACTGATACCCTTTCTGAAGGCGAGAATAACCAAGAAAAACACACTTCAATGCCTTGGGATCCAACTTGGTAACAGATGGTCGAACATCTCGAACATAACATGTGCTTCCAAACACCTGAGGTTCCACAGGAAATAATGACTTATTTGGAAAAAGAATATTGTAAGGCATCCAAGCACAGTAGATGGCATGCGATTAATCAAAAAGCAAGCCGTAGAGACCGCATCAGCCCAGAACTGTTTAGGAATTTTCATTTGGAACAGAAGTGCCCGAGCTGTCTCAAGTAGATGCCTATTCTTCCTTTCAGCAACTCCATTTTGAGAGGGTGTACCAACACATGAAGACTGACGTAGTACACTATGTTGTCTCATGTAGGACTGAAATAACTCTAACATGTATTCTTTAGCATTATCACTCCTTAGAATACGCACCGAAGCATTGAATTGAGTTTTGACTTCAGCACAAAAGGCAGAAAAGTGAGTAAACACTTCAGAGTGACTCTTCATAAAGTAAATCCAAGTCATTCGAGAAAAATCATCTACAAAAGTGACAAAATACTTATGTCCAGTTTTAGAAACAACAGGACATGGTCCCCAAACATCAGAATGAACTAACTCAAAAGCTGACTCAGCTCGCTTGTTAATCGTTGGACGTAACAAAATGCGATGATGTTTTGCAAATCGACATGACTCACAATCCAATGAAGAAATATTCTGAAACTGAGGACATAGCTTCTTCAACAAAGGTAAATAGGGATGCCCCAATCGACAATGTGCTTCAAAAGGAGACACGACACTAGAGCATGCAATAGACTGTGGCTCCCATTCATCAAGGATATATAGAGATCACCAGATAAATACCCTTTACCAATAATTTGAGGTTCAACAAGATCACCAGTAAACCTGAGAATAGCCACTGTCACCAACCTGTAGAAAACCTGAGAATAGCCATTTGTGATTTGAAGCACACTTGCTGATTTGAAGCACACTGATTTATATCCTGGATCCACATCTTCGTAATAGTGCCTCCATCCTCTCGAAATCTTGGATTCTGCCCCTGGTCCTATGAGTGCTGGAAACCATAGGTTTACTGAGCGGATGCCACACTGTCATAGGATGATAATCTCAAGTTACGAAGGGAATTAATCCTTGTTCGTTTGGTAAAAGTTTAGCTGAAGTAAGTCAGGTTGGTAGACATACTCGCAAACAAGAAAAAGGCATTGATCTGTAGACGAGACCTTCAAAGAGTGGTCCTCTGCACTTGTAAAGAATTCACTTTCGTGTTCCCTTAATCTCTTTTTGTCCTTAAATTGAATAAAGCATTTTCTTAAAACTATTTTGCAATATACTTTGAAATTTCATAGCCTGTCTATCAGGAACATCCTTTCTTTCTTATTATGTTCAAGGGGGTGGGACCTTTGAAACTGCAAAGTATGCTTGGTTCATTTGCAGTTTTGTTATCCCCTCCCCGCTTCACGAGAGGAAGACAGTCCATATGTTGATACTGCTATGTTTCATTTGGGATAGGTTGATTTGTTACTAAATACGTCTATTCTGAATACAGAAACAAAATGTTCTTCAATGGTGCGAGGTGCCGATTCAGGTAGCCAAAATGAAGTGAACGGCAACGGCATAGCCATGACTGATTCAAGGAATCAACATGAACCTTTCAGGAATGGTGTTGCCAATACTGTTCCAACTCCTCCACCTCCACCGCAAAAGGTTGAACCTGGAACTACTGCTTTTAATAATAACCCATGTCCTAAAGTTCATCCTTCGGATGGTAATGGGGACGTGATATCAAAAAGCTGAAATAAACTGTAAAGAGATTTAGGATGAGGTTTGCCTCGAGCTGCTGCATCTCTGTAATATTAGGCTATTCTTTATTCAGTTTGTCTTCGATGCAGTGGCAAGGTTATTTCAGGCCTCATTTGTTAGAAGTTAGAACTAACTAGCACCACTCATGTAACCTTACTACAGTTTTCCTTGGTATAATTTTATTGAAAGTAACAATTATTCATCTTTTTTTTTTTTCTAAAATCGATGTGTAACTGGTAAGGTTGTTGCCATGTGACCATGAGGTCACGGGTTCGAGCCGTGGAAACAGCCTCTTGCAGAAATGCAGGGTAAGGCTGTATACAATAGACCCTTGTGGTCCGGCTCTTTCCTGATCCCGCGCATAGCGAGAGCTTAGTGCACTGGGCTGCCCTTTTCATGTGTGCCAGTAAATACATAGGTTATCCCCCGAACTATGGACCAAATCCCTGTTATACACTTTTTGCAAACAAAAATAATTTTACACACTCAACCTTTACAGACTGTACCTAATACACACTACTATGCCTACATGGCCAGTGCGTGGTTTACCAACAAAAATGAGGCGCGTGAAGAAACAAAAAAACTTATCTGACTCTTTATTTGAACGATTCAGATCAAATAAAATTTATCCAACGGTTTAAAATGATTTTTCTTTTTTCTTTTCTTTCTTTTATTTCGTTTCTTTTACTTTGTTTTGTTCTTTCTCAACAATCAGAAGACCTCCCTTGTTTTTTTTTCATCGTCCCTAGATCCCTGTTTGTTTTCCCGAAACTCCTCCCTAAAAATTAAGAAGAGTTTATTAATGAATAATGAAGCTTGATGGTCTTTGGAATTTTAAAGGTGGAGAGGGATTTTCTGGGTTTGTCCAAATTATTTTGAGATTTTTTTTGGGATATTGAGAATATTGTTGAAATGAAAGAATTAAAAGCAGCGGAAGAGGAGAAAGCCAGAGTAAGCATTTTCATTCCGCCTAAAAGTGGTTTGCTTATAATGAGATGTTGATCTAATCCTATGAAAATGGCGGATCTTGATAATTAATTTTGGGAATCACCTGCTCGAAAAGAAAATAACGAAGAAGAAGAAGGTAAGAAAGATAATGGAGAAAATGAGGTGAAAATAGAACTAGCAGATGTAGAGAAATCTGAATGGGAGTCGAAGAGATGGCAGCCATGGTGGTATATTTGATGAAGAAGATGGGTTTAATTATAATTTAAAGTTTTTTCTTTTTTTAATATGTTAACACGTGTCACTATCTCATTGGAGCGTGACATTATACATATTTTGAAAAACTGGTCAAGAAAAAAGTGGTGTGTATTAGGAACAGTCTGTAAAGGTTGAGTGTGTAAAGTTATTTTCGTTTGCAAAAAGTGTAACAGGGATTTGGTCCATAGTTCGGGGGTAATCTATGTATTTCGCCTTTTCCGTGTAAAGATGTAATGCTCAAATCTTCTTTTTGCTTTTTACTTGATCCTTTTCCATTTATTTTTCCTAGTGAAGTTATGCCAAAAGGTGCGCAAAACTCTAAGTTTTAATGCCATTGCTTATTATTAAGCACATAGTAGCCTGTAGTGCTGAAACTCTTAGTGTTAATTGTTAATTACGTTGATATTTGATTTCTTCCCTCCTGATTGCAAAGACTAATTACTTCTCCTCTAATTTTCAAAATTAGAAAAACGTTTCTTTTATTTGGATGTATCAGTAACGAGTTTCTGGACATGTGTGTTGTGCATTTACCCCGAGTATCAATACTAAAAACTTATAATATCATTAAAAATATATTTGAGTCATCAAATAAAACTTAGATAACTAAATAATTAAAAAAAACTAAAAACTAAAATAAAAATAAAACTTAGATAAAACTAATTGTAAGTTACTTAAAAAGATGATCATTCATCCTATTTATTTAACTCAATGAAGAAACCTGGCGCAACAAAAGTCCTCTATCCTCGGATGCTGTATTCTAATTTTGATATATTAATTTTGTATCTACTTGAAAAGTCAAGGCAAAAGTACATACTCACTTTGGAGTATTTTTGTTTCATTTATAGGTGTGAATGACATAATGAATTGCTAAATATAGATGGAAAAATACATGGATACAAAATTGAAGCAAGAGTTATGCTTTTAATTCTCCAAGCTAACAACAAATGAAATATGCACCATTGTTGACGCTTAATTTTCCCTCCCCTCCCTTTAAATTTCAGTTTGATAATCAAATATGCATTTCATCAAATCACAAATAAACTTGATTTTCATTTTTCACATCCACAAAGAAAGGAGGAAAATTCCTAGAGCCGCCGTCAAGAAACCATTTTCCCCCATCCCTAGCGTTCACCTTCCCCTCTAAAAAGTCAAGCCACCACTACAATATTATTGGTCTACACTATTGCAAAGGACGAAACCTTCCTCAGATATATCTTAATGTGAGTGAGATGTTTCAGACACACTCTTGAAAAACTCATAATTTTACATGTTACCAGCAAATGATGACTGGAAATTTCAATCTTTTATCAAGCATACTATTCAAACAATGGAGTAGAGCTTATACTCTACAAAAAAAAATCTGCTATAAATAATTTATATTATATTGATATAAATAACGCAAAGGAGGATGGAGAAGTGATTGATTCTTTGTCTGTATTTATAGCATGGTGGTCAGGTTGCATAATTTGGGATACATATATAGATTTTACGTGGAGAATGGGAAATGAACCATCCATTTATTTAAAAGTTATTTAAGAGCTTTTATTAAAATATAATGTGGAAGAATTTTTTGTGATTCATCTTTAAGAATTGTGCAATTATAGAGGATGAAGTGGGGGAGGGGATTAAATGGGGTTGGGGCAGTGATGTGGCATTGCCATGTGGCATCTTTATCAGCAAAACGTCAGGCCACGTGGGATGGAAATGAAGGGTATTTTTGCACTAATTTTATAACGCCGGGTAGTGATGAGCCGACAGTATATATATGATCTTTTTGCATAGTAAAGGAATATTTTTGACCCTTGCAAGTGTTTCTCTCACGATGAGAAGTTTGAATTTTCTCTCGCTTGGTCCCATTCTCTCTCCCTTTTTTTTAATTTTTTTTGCTTCAGATGAAATACATGTATATTAAGCATTTTAATTTGGGCCATCTTAATGCTCCATGTTGGTGTTAAGCTGTTGTTGCTTCCATACGCTTTATGATTTTGAAGGACTTATTAAATATCTAAGATAGTACTCAATTATCTCCAGAAGAAGTGATGCCAAATGCTGATAGGTTGGCATTTGCAATACAAAATATTGTTATATACCTTCATCATAATTTGTTAAACTTTTTTATGCAGGGTGGGGGATAGAATCTGAGGTGGCTGAACACAAAAAGTTATCCTACTCTATTCTGCATAATACGAGGTCGATATGGAATTTGGTCAAGAAGATGATGTAAAGGAGAGAGTGAGTTATTTTGTCAAACTCTTTTGATGTTGTAATCTTCGTTATGGATTTTAGTACCATCCTCCATTATTATGTTCATTTCGTTTTAATATGCATAACAAAGGGATGAACACATAATACAAAAAAAAAAAAAGGAATATTAAGGGATAAATGAACCATCCCACTTTGGAGAGGGGGAAGGAGGGACCTCGTGCAATGAAACGACGGGTGAGCAGAAAACCATAGAAAATAGGATATGATCATTGATTGATTCCAAAAATTTGGGGACGGGCATAGTTTAGGCAAGCTTGAAATTCAAATCGAAAATTATTTTTTTTGAATTTTTGGTTTTCGAATTAAAGATTGAATTTCGAGTTTAATATTTAAAATTTTCAAAGCTCGGATAGGATTTTGGATTTGGAATTCAACTTTTCGATTCCCGAAAATTTAAAGTTTTAATACACTATACATGAAAGAGCCAAAACTGCCTGTAACTTATTCGTTTTAGTTTAAAAATAGGGAGAAATTCAAAAATAGCCAGATTTACAACTGGTCGTTCAAAAATAGCCCAGTTTCAAAAATAATCGAAATTCAGTCACTTTTTATGTAAAGATAAATCTGACCGAAAACACTGATCAAAACCCGAAAAATACGCTAGTATATTATACTGGAGTTCCAGCATAAGTATGCTTGAACTCCAGCATATTATACTGGAGTTCCAGGATAAGTATGCTGGAACTCCAGCATAATATGATGGAGTTCCAGCATAAGTACACTAGAATTCCAGCATAATATACTGGAGCTCCAGCAAGTATAATTGTCCAGTATAATATAGTCGAGTTTGGAGCACCGGTGCTCCAGTCTCCAACTGGAGTCAGCAAAGTATACTGGTCCAGCATAATATGTTGGAGTTCATACACAGGTGCACTGAACTCCAGTATATTATGCTGGACCGGTCTCTGTTGCAGCAAAATAGTGGCTATTTTTCATTGACTTCGTAAACGCTAACTATTTTTGAATTACCAGTTCGAAAACTGACTATACCGTGCTATTTTTACTTAAAAATACCTCTCGTCCACTTATTTTGTTAAAATTGTACTCACCGTTAAAAATATGGCTCATTCATGCCCTTATTTCTGACAAACTTTTGCGGAATAAAAAAATATTATTATATATGACGTGACAATTTCTTATTGGTCAAAATTAAAAATCTCACTCTAACACAAATTTGATCCATAAATTACCCACCCACGACCCATCTTAATTGTTCCAACCTATTAAGCCTCTTTTAGCCCCCTCAAACACCGATTCCATACTCGACTCATGATCCAATTGTTATTTAGATTTCATTTGTCAAAATTTCATACTCTTTCTTTTTATTAATTTATTAGTTGGTACTCTATCCCTTCCCTTGTTCATCTTCCCCAACTTATTCACCTCCAACGAAATGTGAAGCTAATTTGGTCACATGATTTTAATTAACTCCAAAAAGCCATATGTGGCACAACAAATATAAATTTGGCAAAAATATAACTTATTAAACCATAAAATTTTAGAATGAACCATTAATTTAATTGTAAAAAATACTAGATTTCACTTAGAAAATTAATTTTAAAAAAAATATTAATTTAAAAATTAAATTAAGGCCGAAAAATATGGGTAGGAAAGGAAGATCCGTGGCTGTTAAAGGGTGAAGATCTGAAAGTTGAAGCCGATGGTAGTCCTCTGTCGGCAATAGTAAGTTATTGTAATTTGTCCATGGAGGAGAATGATTAGAGAAAATGTGGAGT